TCTATACTTCATCCTGGGGAGTACAATGCCATTAGTTAGCCAGAGTAAGTTGAAATTCAAACCAGTGATACAGTTATTTGTTTTGTCTAGAGTCCTGCCATCTATAAATGTCTCAGGACTCAATTAGCTGTTCCAACAACCCCTCTGAGAAAGGCAGGGCAGGTATGATGAGTAAGTAGCAGAGCACAGGTTAATGATTCAGTCATAGAAGCTCAGCATTTGAGGGACTTCAGAATAATCTGTGCTTAAATGGAAATCCCCTCCATAACTTTCAAAGAAGTGATCAGCCAGCATCTGAGTAAAGACTTTTCCTAAGTGGGCAACCCATACCACTTTGGAAAACTTCCTACTTGTAGGAAAGTTTTACTTGAATCTTGGCAACTTATACCCATTATTTTCTTTCTGACACAGTTTAATATCTCCACCTGAGAGCCCTTCAAATATATAAAGTTAGTAACCTTGTTAACCACATCCTCCCCATTGCATTGTGCTGCCTCCAAAGTCTTCATTTCTCTATTTCCTTCATCCCACCTTTGGAGATCCGTGGCTCAGTTCTCATAGCATACTGGTTGTACTTTTTTTTAAAATGTCATTCTTAAAATTCAGTTCCTCAGACTGATAAATAGTAGAGAATCAGCAGGTATTTACTCTGTAGCAGGCACTGGGAACACAAATGAAAATTTGCCTACTTACATAATGAACAGAAATACTTACATATAAGCATGTTCACTCATTTCAGTCGTGTCTGACTCTGACCCCTTTTGGGAATTTCTTGACAAAGATATTGGAACCTTTTGCCATTTCCTTCTCCAACTCATTTGACAGATGAGGAAACTAAGGCAAAAAGGGTTAAGTGACTTGCCAAGGGTCACCTAGCTAGTAAGTGTCTCGGATCAAAGGACCAGTCCAGGAGAGCTGCTGTGAAGGACATAGAAACTAGATCACATCGTCCAGAGTAAATCATGATACCTAGATGTTAAGTAATTTCGGGGCAAACATAGATGGTCACAGTTGAGAGGACAGTGCACAATGTTGATTTGGTATTAAGACATCAGAACACATCGTTCTATTAACTACTCTGTAACTTGGTAGCAGGCTGGCATGAATGGCAAGCACCACACCTCAAAACAAAGCATGAAATTGACTATCTTAGCAGACAAGAAATGACCATAGAAGTCAGTCATTTTAGGATCCGGTGTGTACAGTTGGGCGGTTAGGTGGCGCCATGGATAAAGTGCCAGGTTTGGAGTCAGCTCCAGCTTCAGATACTAGCTGGGGTAACCTTGGACAAGTCACTATACCCTGTCTGCCTCAGTTTGCTCATCTGTAAAATGAACTGGAGAACAAAATGGCAAACCACACCAGTAACTTTGCCAAGGAAAACCCCAGGTGTGATCACATGACTGAAAAACAGTTCAACAAAGCAACAACCACAAAATTGTAGAGTTTGGTCATCACCTTGTTTGCAAAGGTCCAAATTAGCATCAAGGATAAAGACAAGAAGAGAATGTAGTTACTGTGGGTCAACTTGATCCACTTAAGCTGACTCTGAAGAAGTAGAAAATAGATAAAAGTAAAGGAAGTAAAGACAGTAACATTTCTTTGAACTTCTGTTAAATGTAACAGAAGGGGAAAAAAGATGTTGGGGCAGCTTGGTGGCACATTGGATAGAGCAGCAGTCTTGGAGTCAGGAGGGCCTGAGTTCAAATCCAGTCTCAAAGACACTTGACACTCACTAGCTGTGTGACCCTGGGCAAGTCACTTAACCCTGATTGCCTCACTCCCCCCCCCCAAAAAAAAAAAACCTGTCACATTTATTTCTTATCTGGTAAAGAGCTCATTGATAGCCAGGGACAGACATGTTTTAGAATACAGTGAGCTCATTTACAAAATGTTAGAGGAGAAGAGGATGGAAGACTTTGAGAAATATTTTCTCACAACACAGGGAAAATGTAAAACAAAGCAGCAGAAAACTTGGCTTTATTTCTAGTTAATCCAGGTTATTCTGTGATTTATAGACAACCAAAAGGATTACAAATAGATTTGAAATAGAACAGATTGGCCAAAATCTGATATTATTAATAACAGTGGAATCAGCAGATTAGGGATTCTGTCACTTCTACCTAATGCCCAGCACTTTAGAAAGTATAGAAAAAGTGTTGGTTCTGACATTTAAAAGAAATTCATGCTAGAAGCAAGGTAATTTTAAGGATACTCGGGTAATGCTTTGTTTTTTCTGACATATCTCAGAAAAAGGGAAAACTTCAAAAGGATAGAAAAGAGGGGCACTGAGTGGCCCAAAAGGTGACTGAATCATGTGTCTATTCTATTCTCTCAAGTCTTTGAAATTGGCCTGTATTTGCATTTGTGAATATCCTTAATGAAACCATAAAGATTGACTTTGGCAGACTATTTTATGTAGCAGAACTGTGGTGTGCTTATATTTGTTTTTGGTTTTATCACAAAAAAGCATTTTACTTTCAAGAAGTTGCCTTAAAGGAACTTCATCAAGCTATCTCCATCTTTATGCCAAGATTAAGATACAGGATTGTTGAACAAAACTATTTTGTCTGTTCAGTACCAAGCAAATGTAGGTAACAGATACTTACTCAACAGTTGCTCACCGTTGTCACAGGATATCCTGTGAACATTCACATAGAATTGCTTATAGATGGTTCTCTTTTGAAGATCCTGTTGGTTACCTTAGACAGATGACATTCATGACATTACTGAAAAGCTGCTATAGGATAGATGCCATGACATGAACCATGATTTTTTTTTTTAATACCAATCTATTCAGAAACCAACTGGAAGATGGAGAATAAATAATTCCCTAAATTAAGAGAATCCATCAGTAACACATTTTTGAAACAGGTACTACCAATAGACAAATCGAATAAATTTATCCAGCAAGCTAAACTGCATTTAGGAAATTTTCAAGCTGGATCACTGCCACAAAAGCTGACATGGCTATGCTAAATAAGTGCAAATCATTGATAACTTCATTTACAAGAATAGAGTTGTAGGTAACTTCAAAAGAAAGCAGACAGAGGCATGATGGATATAAGTAGGTTAGCATATTTTGGAAGAAGATCTTAATTTGAAGAGGCATAAAAGATTTTTAAGCATATGTACAAAAAGAGGTGGGCTAATCATGAGAATGAAAATTAGATAACCCAAATGTTAACACTAGTATCCAGACCTTATATCTTCCATATGACTCTTAAGTTGGTTGATAAGATGGCTGAATCACATTTCTTTAAACTGTACTAACCCCTTGCGAAAAGGGACGAAACATTTTAAAACTTAGAAAAGGAAGTGTAAACATGCTTTCACAACAGGTGTAACTTTCAAAAATAGTTAGAAACTTAACTAACATGCTTTACTTAACTACAAAGTTGAGTCAGAACTAAAAACTACTTTGAATTCTTTGCTTTTGAAATAAGAATTATGGAAATGTACTAAAGTAGGACATCATCAGTCACCTAAAAGATCTCATTAGGCAGATTCTGACATTAATTGGAACTTACTCAGTGGTCACCTTCCTTTTGCTTACCAGCAGAATCTGGTGTAGGGTGTCCTGGAAAGCTGAGCTTATAGAAATTTTCAAATAGTTTACAGTTAGTTGTATGGTGCCTTCAGCAGCACTTTATACTCCTATGAAGGTGGGTAATCTCATTAGCCAATTCCTGTTTTATAGATAAGGCAACTGATCCTCAAGGGGGTAAGTGACCTTACCCCATAGTCAACACAGGTTGTAAGTGTGAGATAGAGGGCTTGGAATCGGAAGTCTTGGGTAGAAGTGCAGCATTCCTTCTATTGTATCATGATAACTCTCATTTGGTAATTAAAGGCTAGGGTCAAACTAAGTAAATTTGCTTCTTTCAGTGTCTTTAACAGCTGGGCACATTCTGGAACATGTCTCAAGGTGGTTTGCTTCTAGCCTGTCTAGTATGTCTTGTCCCGAGTTCTGGCTTAGGGCCAAAGGCTGTGAGTGCTATTGGTGCAGCTATTGTGATCAGCTTGGGAATGAAAAGGAAACAACACAGGAAGGTTGCTTTTAACCAGGTGTGAACCTGATCTCCTTGAAGGATCCTGAGGGCAAGTGAGGAAGGAGTGCATTCTAGGAAAAGGGCTGCTGCTTGTACCTGCACAAATCACAGCACCTCAAATGCTAGTTGTACAGTCTTAGACTTTCCATTTGGTAATACAAAATCATGGAAGACATGTGGTCACTTGTGGCACAACTGACCTTTAACTGCCCCTTGTATAAAGTGAAGTTTAAAAATAACTGTGAAAAGTTTAGCCTTTTTTTTTTTTAAATTTTTGGCAGTAATTTCCAGTAGGTGGTAGCAGTAACTTTCATTTCAAACAGATCCTTAGCAGCTTTATGTTCTTATTAATAGTTAGCATAGTCCATGCAGGATATAATTTGCACTATTTATACTTCCATTTTCCTAATCACCCAGGTTCATAACCTTTTCTTCCTTCCCTTTCTCCCATATTGGCAGTTTCCAAATCCTATTAATTATACCTCATTGTAGCTGAGCATGGGGTGTTCAGAGAGTACTAGCACCTCTGGTATGAGAGCTGCTGAGTCCTTTTCAGGGCTTCTTATCCACCTTTGGTGTCCATCTTCACCCAACTCTCACGTGTGGCTCCCAAAAAGCTGTAGCATGTAGAGTGGCCACACCCCAGAATCATTGAAATTCAGTTCATGAGCAAGTCATTGTCTTGTCTTGATGTCCTTGGTCCTCTTTGAAAAGACCTTACTCTCCATTCACAGCTGGCCCCAAGATGACATTGTAACCCTAATAGGACCTCCTGGGAAGAAAGGGGGAAGCACAGGTGTGAGTTCAAATCCTGCTTGTTTCTTGGAGTTGTTTTTTTTGTTTTGTTTTGTTTTGGGTGAGGCAGTTGAGGTTAAGTGACTCGCCCAGAGTCACACAGCTAGTTATGTGTCTGAGCTTTAACTAAAGCTATATTTTATGTTCCATCAGGTGCTGTTGGTGAGTAGCAGTCGGTATCCAGATCAGTGGATTGTTCCTGGTGGAGGAATGGAGCCCGAGGAAGAGCCAGGTGGAGCTGCAGTAAGAGAAGTGTATGAGGAGGTGAGGACACGAAAAAACGGGCTTAAAATACCTTTTTTTTTTTTTTTTTTTTTTTTTTTAATGGGGAGGTATTTCTGTCCCTCCAGAAAAGTTCAGATTAAGAGTGCAGGTTGGGGTTTGAATTCTAGTAAGTCATATGATGGGGGACAAATCACACAGGGAAAAAGGGGGTAATAGTCGCCCTTGCATGTATCATATTATTGATGTGGGGAAAACTTTACAAGCTTTTGAAGTGTTTGAAAAATAGTAAATTCCCTAAGGGTTCTATAAGCAGTCAGAGTGTGACTATGTAACAAGTTTAACTGAAATTATAGAGAAGATCTGAAGGGGCACAGCCTTAAAAAAAACAGTGTTTTCTGGGGAAGTAATGAATGCCATGAATATTAAAGCATTTAGAGAGAATTCTAGTTATAGTTGAAAATAAGTTCTGAACTTTCAGTAATTCTCTGGGGAAAAAGAACCTAGAAAATGAGTGTAGGTATCACCATGTGCTACAGCCAAAAAGACCAACCCTGTTTGATAACCATCGAGAAGAATGGCAGTAAGAGAAAGGTCCCTTCCATCATTTCATAGGAGCCTGTGATGTCATATCTAAAGAAAAGGAGTGCTGCATTTATCAAGGCTACGGAGAGATTTCCTATGGGGAAAATTGTTTAGTTAGTTCTGGTGAGTCAGAGGATATGATTTTAGACTTTTCCTTGAATGGTGCTAACAAGTTGAACCAATTAGATTTGCAAGTGAATCAAAGCTAGTAACTCTGAAATGTAGCAGACACCTAAGTGTTTATGAATGAACGAAATAAACCATTGGGGGGGTTCTTAAAAGCAAACGAGTAACAGCTGTATTTAGTCACTACCACCTGATTTAGGCGTGTGTATTAGACTCATCAGGCAAAGCCTAGTGAAATGTTGAATGCAGAGTATCTCAGAATAGGTCATAAGTGAAGGGATAATTGAGCCTATTTCATTTCATAACATTTACATTGTGAATGACATAGTCTGTATGACATTTCACTCTCTCCCAGAGAACTGGTATTGACTTAGTTAAAATATTTCACATTCAGTGTATTCATTAAAACAGTTTCAGGAAGAAATAAAGCTACAGAATACTAGAGTGAAAAACTTTGATACAAAGTTCTGATATTTTGAAGAAGCTAACTTATTATTTATTTGTAGGCTGGTGTCAGAGGAAAATTAGGCAGACTTCTGGGGATATTTGAGGTGAGTTCTAAAAATATCACTGTTCAGCTGCTTAATGTTGTTTAAATTGCTATTTTCCTAGCAGACACAAATCAGGAGTGTCTTCTTCAGGCCCGGTAGCCAAGAGGCTGCCACATTGCCAGCCTTGAATAGGTTGTTTCCAGTTTGCAGCCTGATGTTCTTTCCGAAGTACTAAATATAAGCATATCAAGGACCTAGAGAGGGAGTGCTGTACCCCAGCTATAATTTTGAAAATTCACATTGGATCATTTGTTCTCCAGCAAAGACAGACTAAAGACTCATAGCTAAAAGAAGCATATTTTCATGCCTTAGGAACTAGAAAGTTATTTTTGTAGTAGTAGTAGTCTTTCTGGTGTTCAAGGTGAGACTGCGATCTTGCAGGCTGTGCCAACAAAGTTCTAAACACTGGTAGGTCCTAGTCAAGCTAGAAAGGCTTCAAGGATGGACAGCAAGTATACCAGGTCTCTTTCTGAGGACCAGCCAGCTGTGAGACAGGGATTCCAAGTTGACTGTAAGCCACATGCACCCTGGAAGACCAAGTTGCTAAAACATGTCAAAAGAGGAGGAAAGAACATCTGTAGCTACACCCCTTGTTAGAAACGTGTTCTTTGCTATTTTCTGGTGAAGATGGCTGTCTGAATGAGGGCCATAGGCAAACAACCCTAGAGATGGAACCTCTTTGTGTGCTGGAGGCAGAGAGTAGGGAATCTTTCAGGTGGGATGGTCAACCACATAGAGCCCCCAACCTTGTAAATACACAGATTTTGGTCTTATAGGTGCTTTGGGCCATGGAACAGGCCATATCCAGGCCTGTTGTAATCCCAGTATTTGATGGTAGGAAAGGAGGAGCAGGGAGAATAAACATTTATTATGTAGTATCTATTAGGAGCTCAGTGCATTTACAAATAGTATTTCAAGATGGGAGAGTTAAGAGAAGCTTTCACACCTGGATAATTGGTCTTTTTAAATATTGGTAATTTAAAAGTTGTTTAATAAGAAGCTTCATTTTATTTATTGATCCATAAAACTTTTCCCAGACAAAATTGAAAATAAGTCTTGGTTGCCTGAATAAAATTATACTCCTTATGTTGTTGGGAATGGGTTTATGCCATAATCTTAAGAATCAAAATAGTTATTAAAATTTCTTTGCATTATTCCTAGCTCTCTAGTTAGCCCTTTTTTTCTAGTTAGCGCTTCAAGCTTTTTTACTTTTACAGGTGTTCTCTTAGTGTTCACTTTTTGGCCCAAAGGATCTGCTGTTCATGTGCTAGTCTCTGATCACTTTTCTGTATATCAGAAAAACCAGTCATGTTCCCAACCTCATTTTGGGGAGACTGTGCTTTAATGAGACATAGGCTCCATCACTAGGCCTGAACTTCTGGGCCCTCCCGGAGCTCTGATCCACTACCCAAGTGCCTACCTTTCTCTACCTAATTATATCTCACTCATCTTTTGAGGCCTAGCTCCAGATTTTTCATCAAGCTTCCTGGACGGTTCTACACATTGAATGAATCCACCTAGCATTTGATCCTGCTTTTGTGATATCTTTTCAGATAAACTATTAATTCCAATTCCTTTTTGTAGCACACAGAATACATGCCTTGTAACTTTATTTTAGAATGTTAATTTTTGGCTGTTGCTTTAAAACTACACAGTGGCATCTCAGAATACTGAAAACATTTAACAGCCCTAAGAGAAGAGCCTCTCTTCTAGAGTAAGACTTGAAAATAGCATTCTTTTCTCTGAGGACCTTTTCATTTGTTCTTGAGAGCTTAAATAGCCGCCCCTTAGCTTCTGTCCTGAGATGCTGATACTTCAATAATGAAATAGCTCCATCTTCTGGTGAACAGTGGAAGTTGACTTTGTTTCTTTTTGATACATTGAGACTTAACTGTTCAATTCAGGATAATGTTACAGTATAGTTTAACAGCTTTCTTTAGTAATTTTGGTCAGTACTAGTAATTTTTTTTTTTTACTTTGTTGTCTTTAGCATTACAGATTCAGTTACTTTGTGGTACTTAATGGGTGCCTAAGTTTGCTAAATTAGAAATAGAAATAATTCCACATCTTTCATAGAAAGTTGCTAGTAGACAAAATCCATTTTTAACAAACTACAGAACATCCAAGTTGTACTATGATGACATTTTCTTAAACCCTTCAAATACTGAGCATCTATGGTTTTGTCATTGTGGTTTGCTCCCATTGACACAGATTATAATCAGTTTTATTGTGGCCAAAGAATTTGTCACTGGGTCCTCAGATGGCTTTCTATCACTTGCACTGCACTGCCGTGAACACAAACCCTGGCCCTCACCCATATAGTGAAGAAGAAGCAGAACAAGATGTAGAGGTTGTTGAAGCAAGATTAACACCTAGCCTTGACTACTAAGTGAAAAGGAATATTTTGAACCTAGTTTGGGGGGTGGGGAAGGTCTTTGTTATCTATAACCATCTTTCCCTT